GGCGGGGAGAAGGTTCAGACACACCAGCCTAACTCCCTTGGCTCTTTCATGCCCAAATGCCTGGATGATGTCACTTCACTCTTGCCAAAGGGTAAATAGAGGCAAATCCAAATTCTGGTCTGGTTGGCAGAGTGGAACGGCCTCTGGAAATCAAGACAGGAGCATTTCTGTGTATCAGACTACTGGGGACTCTTGGCCTCCTTCACGGTGTCTTGAAATCGGCAAAATGCAGCGTCACAAACCAAATGTTTCTCAGTTGTTTTCTGCTTGATTAGTCTGAGTGGCTGAGCCCTTTGCTGCTGTTCACAGAGTCGTAGTGTTTGTCACCAGACAACATATGGATACGTATTGTTGTGTCTTCAAGTGGCACCGACCTGTTTGAAGGTTACGAGATGCTTTGGCACTTTGGTGATCTCACTTGGATGATGTGACTTTATTTTTCAGTTTATACTATCATTTGGGAAAATATTTGCTCTCAAAGGAGACATGAAGGAAGAAGAATGTGTATGATAAGAAAAGCAAAACTGAAAATGTTGTACAGGTCAGTGAGTCTTGGCAACAAGTATGTTTTAAGTTTTTAATTTATTTACATTTTACTCCTTGAACAAACTGAAACAATTGAGTGACTAATAATTTGAAATTATATTACAAAGAACTATTCGCTCAAGAAGAGTATACTTGAAAAAAACACGTTGGCATAACTTTACGAAAGAACAATACCCTTTAAAAATCTACCTGTATAGAAGGGGATTTTGAAGAAATGGGAAAAACAAATCCATGTAGAATTTGGGTTCTCATTCACAAATACCTAACTTCTGTCAAGAATTGTTTGATCTAGGGGTGCCTGGGTGGCTCAGTCAGTTGAACGCCCGACTTCAGCTCAGGTCGTGATCTCACAGTCCGTGAGTTCCAGCCCCCCGTCAGGCTTTGTGCTGACAGCTCAGAGCCTGGAGCCTGCTTCGGATTCTGTGTCTCCCTCTCTCTCTGCCCCTCCCTCACTCACACTGTCTCTCTCTGTCTCTCAAAAATGAATAAATGTTAAAAAAAAAAAATAATTGTTTAATCTAAATTTGGTTGTACCTCAAGGGAGAAACATTTCTTTCTAACTCACTCTGAATCCTTAGTTTCGAGTCAGACTGACTGACAGGATGAAAAAGTCCTCAAGAAGAGATTGGGACCCTTCTCGTCATTCTAGGTCAGCTCTCTGGAGAGTAAGAAATTTGCAGTTACCAGAAATCAGGAGTAAGTTTCAAGTAAGAATTTAAGTAGTTCAGGTAATATTGGGAGGTGCCAACAAGTGTCGGTGGTCGAGAAAATGTGACAGGACGGGGGTACCTGGGTGGCTCAGTCGGTTAAGTGTCTGACCCTTCATTTTGGCTCAGGTCATGATCCCAAGAATGTGGGATCAAGCCCCATGTTGGGCTCTGTGCTGAGCGTAGAGTCTGCTTAAGATTCTCTCTCTTTCTGGGGGCCTGGGTGACTCAGTAGGTTGGGCTCTTAATTTCAACTCAGGTCATGATCTCATGGTTTGTGAGTTTGAGTCCCACATCAGGCTCCGCACTGACAGCGTGGAACCAGCTTGGGACTCTCTTTCTCTCTCTCTCTCTCTCTCTCTCTCTCTCTGCCACCCCCCCCAATAAATAAATAAATATTTTTTAAAAAAGATTCTCTCTCTTTCCCCTGCCCCTGTCCTCTGCTCATGCTCTCTTTCTCTCTAAAATTAGAGAGGAAGAAAGGAAAAAGGAAGAAAGGAAGGAAGAAAGAAAATGTGACAGGACAGGAACACAAATCAATGTCAAAAGAAAATATATTGAATCAAGAATTATTCCTGGCTGCTAAGGGTTGGAGGTGGGTGCATATTAATTATAAAGATAATTACAGAAAGTAAGGGATATTTACTGAGACCCTGCTATTTGTCAGGCCTAGGAATAAAGGCTTTATTCTAATCACTTCATTTAATCGTCTTTACTCGGTAGAAACCATTTTATAATGAGGAAAGAAGCTCATATTAAACAACTTGCCAAAGTACACACAGTAGTGAGAGTGCGAAATCTGTTTGTCTTCAAAGCTTATATTTCCATAGGGATGCCAACTATATGCAAGAGTTAGGTTAGTGGAATTCTAGAAATGCACCCTAGTCTAGATTAGAGAATACAGAAACCCTGCTTTGCAGAACTCAGAAGGCACTAGGAGATCTGACTTAGAGTGTGTTTGTGACGGTGAACAGTAGCTTTTTGATCCTCTGGTGCGTAAAGGAGCTTATAAATACCTATTCATGGAGAAACTGGGCTTGGGAGACAGCTACAACTCATCTGACATGGGGAGAGGGTCTTCCAGTGAAACTGATCTTCTGTAAACTGCAGGGCCGTGGGGAAGGTTGTCTGGGCCCCCCGGTAAGGATGAGAGCTGGGATTTGAGATGTCTTGCTGATCCTATTTGGGGTCTCAGAGCCTGGGCCTAGCAAACCAGCACTGCTGAGAATATCAAACTAATCAACATTTATAGAGGGCACTGTGCTAAATCCAGAGCTAAGTACTGGGGATACATTGATACCTCAAGGAGCTTAAGCAACAGAGGAGGTACACAAGAGAAAAAAATGACTCATGCTTCATGTTAGCTATTCTGGCCGCTTTGCTGATTCTCAGACAGGAAAAGTCCAACAGGCTTCAGTTTCAGGTCCCTGTCTTGAATGTCCCTCTTCTTTCAGCACAGCACAGCTACTGTCCTTACCACCTTTAACTCTTTGTTCAAGTTTCACTTTCTAAAAAATGAAGGACTAATTTGGTTACAGGTGTACCAACATAGTGATTTGATATCTGTGTAAACGATCACAATAAGTCTACAACGTCCATCCTCACACAAAGCTATCGTTCTTTGTCTCCTGATGAGAACTTTTAAGATCTACTGTCTTAGCAACTTTCTTTTTTTTTAATTTTTATTTCTCTTATTTATTAAAAAAATTTTTTTTTAACATTTATTTATTTTTGAGATACACACAGAGAGAGAGCATGAGCAGGGGAGGGGTAGAGAGAGGGGGGGACACAGAATCTGAAGCAGGCTCCAGGCTCTGAGCTGTTAGCACAGAGCCCGACGCGGGGCTGGAACTCACCAACCTTGAGATCATGACCTGAGCCGAAGTCGGATGCTTAACCGACTGAGCCACCCAGGTGCCCCTCTTAGCAACTTTCATGTACACAAGACACATGCTACACTGCAGTCACCGTGCTGGACGCTGTACCCCCAGGTCCTACGTATCCCACCTTCTGGCTGAGGCCTGAGTTGATGGCCCTATTTACAATTGCACCTCCTCTTTCCCCTTCACCACTTGACACTCCAGCTCCCTTAATCTGCCTTATTTTTCTCCACAGCACACATCATTTCTAATATTCTAGAAATGTTGTGTAAGTTTCTTTCCCTCATTAAATAGAAGTGATCGCCATGGCAGTGATCTTGTTTTATTTAGCTACTTCTTCAGACATACCCCAAGCATCCAGAAGAACATCTGACATATAGCAAGCACTCAGTGCTGTTTGTTGAATTAAAGTGGACTGAATCTGTGCCCCATTCGGCACAGTATAGCACGTACTGGTAACAGAGAAGAGCGTGGAAAACTTCCGGGGGAGCACGCAAGTCAGGGAAGGTTTGGTGCTAAAAGTATGCATTAGCTAGAATTTAGAGATGGATGGGAATCGTCCGTGCAGAAGGTGGGTAGGAAAAACACTGCAAGCAAAGGGAACATCATATACAAAGACGTGGGGGTGGCAATAGAATGGGATATGTGAGGGCCAGCCCGGAAGAGGAATGTGACCAGACCAGACTATCGAATGTCTGAGAAGGAAGACAAGATGTCAGTTACCGTAGGGAAAAGACAGGGTGCAGGCTCCCTTTCCCTTGGCGCCCCAGATTCATTTTCTTCTCTGAGCTTTAGGAGGCTGACCCCTGACTTCTGTCACCAGTTTCTGGTGGGAGTCACGGAGAGGAGAGTGGCAGGTAGGGAGAAAGTTCACAGTATTTATTCCCGTCTGTCTCCTCCTTGCTGGGCTACAGTCCTGGAAGTGGCTGCAACTTTTTTGTGACCATAGAGCCCATCGGGAGTGCCCTCCTTCAAGGCTCCAGTCCCTTTTAGGCCCGCGGGTAATGATGGCTTTCTACTATCGCTTGTCCTTGGGTGCCCTAGCACCCCTTCTTGGTTCTCTTAACCCTTGATCCTTTGTTGAAAAGCTTTTTCGAAAAATCCCAGCTGTGTGAATGCAGCCTGATTCCTGCAGAATGTGCCAGCTAGAGCGAAGAAAGCAGAAGTCAGTGCAGACCGGCAGCTGAGCAGCTGCGGTCAGCATGACCCCCTCCAGCAGGCAGATGGAGTCCAGACGATCTGGTACCAGGCAACTGACAACTAGAGACCCAATATTGAGGAAGTGTCTGAACAGTAGGCAGGCTTTTGGACACAGGTCGACCTCTTCTGAAGTGAAGCTTATTTACATGCATCCTGTCCACAACTCAAACTGGTCTTAATACGTGTGCTGAGGGCAAGCCCGCTCTGAACAGAAGCTCGAGATGATCAACACACACCTTGCTTAGCAAACAAAATCCCAGGCTCCCCGAACTAGACGTTCTGCGCGAGTGCCTACTGCCTTCCCAGTTGCTTGTTGATTCGATGAATGAACTTGCGCTAGGCAGAGAACGCTGGGGCAAGCCCGGCAGCAGACAGCTCCTGGAGGTGGAATGCTACCTTTCCTCCGTGGCACGGCGGTCCGGATCCATCCGGGCCGCAGCTGCCACCCAACGGGCCCTGGGCTCAGCTTCTGCTTCGGATCTGTGCGAACAGGGAAAGGCAGAGCCGGCAGCGCCCTGAACAAACCAGAAAAACAGCCCTCTTCTGCTCTGCTCGCGAGCCCACGTAGGCGCGGCGGCTCTACCCCGGCGGGGGCCAGGGGCGCCTCCCCTTCGCCAGTGCCGCCCCGCCCCGCCCGCCGCCCGAGGTCTGTCCCGCCGCGCCCGCGGGGGGCGGAGTGTGAGCTCGCCGGGAGGCCGCTCTGGACTCTGCACCCCTACGTGTGTGCGCCCTACTTCCCGCGTGTCAGCCGTCCTCTGCCTGCCCATGGAAGGGGCCGGATCCCCATCGACGGGGGAAGAGCTGGAGCTCTCGGTGCTCGGGGGGCAGCCCGACGAGCAGAAGCCTCTCAACGGAACCGTCCAGGTCATCCCTCTCTCGGTCGAGGAGCCCCGCGCGGCCCAGGTAAGGCCTGCTGGGCTCCCGGGGCGGTGTCGGAGCGCGCTCTGAGCCCGGCTGTGGGCCCGGACCCCGGCTGGCACCCTCCCAGTTGCGCGTTTCCAGCCACCTCTCCCCGCATCGCGGACGCGGGGCGCTGGTGGTGCGCCCTGGGATCTTCTGAATGGAGCGGATTCCGGAGTGCGCTCTAGCCGGAGCCGGCCGGAGTCCCTGCGACCCCTCTGGCCCCTCCGACCGCCATGGAACTTGAGGAATCCTACCCCGGAGGTGTGTGGCTCCTCTCTTCAGAGAGAGAATCCCCAAGGATAGAGGTGGTTTAAAAAGGTTCGGTAACTTTAAATTCAGTGTGTGTGTGTGTGTGTGTGTGTGTGTGTGTGTGTGTGTTGTGTTTTCCAAGTAAGGAGAACTCGAGTGATAGATGGAGTCTTCTCCCTTTCTTTCATGGGCGTCTCCTGGCCTTACCTTTACTGCCTTGCCACTTCCACCCACCCTCCACCCTCCCCCTCTGCGCATCATCCCCCAGCCGGCTCACATCCCTCAGACACACACTTGTTCTTTTCCCAGACTTTAATTTCTCCTGAAGACAGGGGACAGGGGAGTGAACTTGCCCTGCCCAGTTGATGGGAAGTGATTTCAAAGTTCTTGTCCCGAAGAACTAGACTAATGGCTCATTTGCTTGGGCCTCCTTTCAATCTCTAAAGGACCTCTTTTCTGCTCCAGCCCTAGCAGTGACAGGAACATGATTCATTCTCATCAAATACTCGTAAAATAGCAGAGGCTTTGAATTCACAGCCATCTGCCGTCTGATGAACCCTAAGACTGGCTTGAGGTTTACAGAGCGCTTGGAACTCCCCATGTATATGGCTCCAACTTGATCTTTTTTAGATCTCACTTCTCCACTCCCACGCCTCGCCTTTGACTACTCTCAGCTGTTGATTTCAGGGATAAGCAAGGAAATCAAACGGTGAAAGCATTGCTTTTGCATGGGTTCCTGGAAACACTGTCCACTCTGCTTTTAGAAGGACCTATCGATACCCCGGGGAGTGATTTGGGGGATTTTATGAATGAGAGATGAATACCACAGAAGAATGAGGGTTGAAAGAAAGATGGTCTGATATCTGTGCAAGTGGCTGCCACCATGGGCTTCTGCCTCAGACCTCCATGGCAGGGTCCAGGAATGGATTTGGGAATACTTGCCACATGTTAGATAGATCCAGGACTCCCAGTGACTCCAGGGACTGAATCCAGAGATAGGAGTTTTGGTGACAACTTCAACACTAAAAGGTGTGCCCTGAGGCAAGGTGCCAAGGTCTGTGTTCCCAAGGGTCAAATGGTAATGTAATGTGGTTAACTGGGCTTCTCTGGGAGGCCTGGGAATGCCTTGCTGAAAACAGATGAGTAGAAGCCACACTCACGTAGGGCATCCGTATTCTATAATTGTTTATTTAGTACCCAGGAGAGATTGCTCTTTCGTGTTCTAATTACTTCCTCATCAGCCGGGTATACACGGAGAGCCTAGACTTCCTTGTGAATTAGCTTTGTAGGTCACCAAATAGTAAGAGCTATGGTGGTTGACAGAATGGTGTGGAGGTGAAGGGTTACCTGAGCACTCGGAGGGCATTCAAAAATTTGAACAGGAAATATCAAAAAATGAGAAAATCCTCCTGTAATGTGTTAATCATTCTCTTTGGTTCTGTAGAATAAGTTAAAGTGTATTTTATTTTACTAAAAGTTTATTTATTTTGAGAGAGAGAGTGAGAGAGAGAGCACATGGGGGAGGGGCAGAGAGAGAGAGAGAGGGAGAGAGAGAGAGAGAGAGAGAGAGAGAGAGAGAGAGGGAGAAAGAGAATCCCAAGCAGGCTCCATGCAGTCAGCACAGAGCCCATGCGGGGCTCGAACTGACGAACCATGAGAGCGTGACCTGAGCTGAAATCCAGAGTCGGACGCTTAACCTGCTGAGCCACCCAGGCTCCCCCTGAAGTGTATTTAAAAAAAAATTTTTTTTTAACGTTTATTTATTTTTGGGACAGAGAGAGACAGAGCATGAACGGGGGAGGGGCAGAGAGAAAGGGAGACACAGAATCGGAAGCAGGCTCCAGGCTCTGAGCCATCAGCCCAAAGTCCGACGCGGGGCTCGAACTCACAGACCGCGAGATCGTGACCTGAGCTGAAGTCGCACGCTCAACCGACTGAGCCACCCAGGCGCCCCTGAAGTGTATTTTAAATTGAAAAGTCAACTACTGTACAATCCTGTAAAGTGCTTGGGCGTGCCAGGCATCTGAGAATTTTGTGTGTAGGGTCTCCTTCAACTCTATGCTAAGATTTCCAATTTTGAAATGCAGCTTAAGCCCATGTATTTTTATTTGTTATTTTATTTTATTATTTTTTAAGCCCACGTATTTTTAGTCACCATATGCTTTGTACGTATCATGTGCCACATACTTCCCATACATAAATGCTTCTAATTACCCCCAACAAACTTAAGAGGAAGGTGTCAGTGTTCTGATTTGACAGATGAAGAAACTGGAAGACTGAGGCTCAGAGAAGTTACCACAATACTCAGGTTCACTCAATGGTGGCTCTGAGATTTGAACTCAGGCTTTTTAGGTCTCAAACAACGCTGTTTTTATGGGTTTATTTTATTGATAATTAGGGAGAGAAAATATATGTGTAATTTATACTCACTTATGTATAATTGCCTAAATTATATGTTCCTAATTTCAGTAAGTTTGGGCACTTAAGTGAAATATGAGTATTTGCGTAGCATATCTGGAATGAGGAGGGAGTTGCAGGTGGATGGGTGAAGAGGAGGGGACAGTTTTGGGACAGTTGGGAAGAAGACACCCCGTGTCTAGGGTATCTTCCTATTGGAAGGTCTGATCTGGGAGGGGATACAGAGGCAGTGGAAAGAAATTCTTTCCCCTTCTTGGAGCTTGAGGGAAAGGAATGTAAGCCACTGAGTTTACTTTGCCTGTTGTCACTGTAAACATAGTAATATAGTTGGGTCAGAAATGAAAATGAAGTTATGGGTAATAGATGGAGATTGGTTTTCTTTTTATGGCTCATCACATGGGATCTGACCTCGGTTCCCAAATAGAAGTCCCAGAGACATTTTAAGGGACAGCATCATTAATAATGCAATAAGTTGATAGTTTTGAAGTAGGCAAGACTTCAAAATTAGCCCCATTGCTATGCATTGTTCAGAATTTAGGACAAGAATCAGCTAGATTTTTTTATGTGTGGACAAGTGAATTAAATCCCACAATGAGATTACAAAGCACAGATTTTCCTACGCGCTAAGAAAAATTTTCCAGATACGTACATTATCTGCTCCTAATTGCACCAAAGAGAAGAAAAGCTGTTTGTATCCAAGAGATAGTCTTGCCATTGTGGCAGGGCCTTATGTCATGTGTTTGGATGTGACTATCTGGGGGAATGTTTAGAGGGAAGCTACAAAAATTCTTGAGCCATAAAATGCAGATCATAGAATGTAAGATGCAGTTTGCAAAAGTCTCTGGAAAGCACCCTGCAGAAAAACCTGCCTGTGGTTTCTCCTCCTGGCCTAGAATTTGGGCGTGAGAGAATGAAGATGCCAGTGAAGGAGGCAGTATGTCTTTGTGACCTGGTTTTTAGGGGAGTCTCAGCGCAGGGGGCACTCACCTGCTGTATCAGAGTGTCTTCACCCTCAGGGCACCGTGGAATCTTGGGGGTGGGAGTGGGGGTGAGGGGGACCTTCTAAAGGATACACAAGTCTTGGTTGATGCTAATGTGCAGAGAGCTGAGAAGCACTGTCATTTATTTTTGGGTTGGGAGTAGCTGACCGACTACTTTATAATGGCTTAGAGTCTGTGAAGGTTAATTTTGCAAAGGATGGTATCTCTCCCCGAGGGCTGACGGCAGGACAGTGAACTGGCTGTGTGTTGACAGCTTTGGGCTGGACACGAAGAGGCATTTTGTACAGGTGAGGGCTGTGTAATTCTGAGCTGACTTCCCCTCTGAAGTCAGAGTAGTGGGCCCTTCATACCACCAGGGTCCTAGTTTATTATCTGTAAGGGAAAACATCAGTGAAGGCAACAAGAGGCCAGAGAGATGCATTGACCCTCATTCTGTGGTTCCTTTGAGACTTCAGCCCATTTCATTTTGTACTAATCTTATGCTCCTGGCTGCTTCTTGTAGAAGGACTGAAAATGGCAGGGCATATGGGTGGCTCAGTTGGCTAAGCATCCGACTCTTGGTTTCAGCTCAGGTCACGATCTCTCATTTCATGGGTTCGATCCCCATGGCAAGCTTTGTGCTTGCAGTGCAGGGCCTGCTTGGTATTCTCTCTTCCCCTCTCTCTGCCCCTCCCCCACTGTCTCTCTGTCTTTCTCTCAAAATAAATAAATAAACTTAGAAGAAAAAAAAAAGGACTGAAAATGGCATGGGGTCATTTTGTTCTCAGGGGCTCCATAAGGAAGATATAGTCCTGTTCCCTGAGAAGTTAAAGGTTCCTTATACTGAGACTTCTTTTTCCCCATGCCTTATTGAGCCCTTGGCTTTGGTGGCTTTGGAGCAGTTTTCAATTTTTGGCTGGCACTGTCCTTGAACTCCAGAAGCATACTTACCTCAAGAGCGTTTTCTTCTGTCCAGACGTTCCCTTTATTGGTCCTTCATACCCAACCAGAGGAGCCAATGTAAAGTGCACTCAGGGGCTCCACAACGTGAGCTCTACTCCAGACTTTCTCCAAGTACCTTCTTACAAATTGTAGAACCCTCTACAACGAAGCCACACCCATGTGTTACGTGCCTACTGCCGACTGAGGCACAAGTGTAGGATGTAACAACAAGGAAGTTCAAGAACCACCCCTCCTTCTATCTGGTTTCAGTTTACCTTGGAAGATAAGCTGGTATCTTGAACATGAAACCAGACAAAGCAGGGGCAGATGAGCTGTGTGGACAGCTCACGTTCTGGGGGGCTCTGTCCTTGGGCGACGTGGCAGGGAGGCCTCCACAAAAGGAGAGATCTGACTTGGCTCCTGAAGAGTGATGAGGCTTCAGGACAGAAGTCTCAACCCTGATAGAGCAACTGATTCAGTCCGGGAGGCTCAAAATTACAGACGGGGGCCTGCCCTCACCTCGTGGCAATCTGGTCCCCTGTGTCCAGGTACGGCCTCGGGGTGTGTAGTTTAAATTCCTGATGTGCCGCCGGCCAGGCTTGGGAACCTGTCACTGAGAAAGTCTGAACTGTAGTCCTAAAGTGAACGATTTCCTTTTCTGCTGGCCACCAGCACCGTCATGATGGGAGAGACAGTAAACAAGGTGCCTGTTCAGGAGCGAGACTCCAGAAATGCCTGCTGCTGCTTTGTGAGACGAGAACACTGAGCAACGATTGCTGTCATTTGTTGAATTGCTAATCTTTGTTTAGCAGGGGCTTCGTGTGCGCGATCTCTCGTGCACGCGATCTCTGGTTTCTACCACAGCCCTGTGCGCTACACTTGTTATTTTTACAGTTGAGGATGTCGGGGCTGGTGAGCTTCAGTAGCTTGCTGAATGAGGGCGTCGCTCTGCTTTTAAGTGTGGGAGGGGAATCCCGATGCAGAAACACACCTTTTCCCCATCGCAGTCCTTGGTCTCTGTGTGGGAATTACCCAATGGCTCAGTGGGAAGCAGAAGAGTCCTGGGACCTTGTAGGGGCAGGTGGTGGCCCTGAGTGGAAGCACCGTGGCAGCCAGGCCCACTCGTAACCTGGAGCTCTGCACGATGGCACGGGGGGCCATGGACAAAAGGTGCCAGCTTTGTAGGGACACACAGCGGGCATCAGCCCTGGCTGCTCTCTGTACCTGCCTCTGCCTCTGGGAGATGGGCCAGTGGCCCCCCTGCGGGGCTGTTAGCATGCAATGAATTGGTGTTGGTGATCAATAAGCCATGGCAGTGGCTGCCTCACTGCTGCTTATTTCCTGCTGTGTCTCATGTCCTTCCTTTCATTTCCCTTCGCAGGCCCTAATTACACATTACAGGTCACAGCAGTAGCCTCTTAGCTTTTGCACACACCATTTTGCTCTGAATCTTAAGTCTACTCTTATGCTTCAAAACCTTCCACAGGTCCCCAGCTCACACCAAATTAAGTCCAAACTGCTCTGACCACATTCAGAGCCCTCTCAGATTGCCTCCAGCCTTTCACTCTCTCTAATCTTAGCTGTTACTACTTGCCACATTTCTGTTAGCTGAGGCTCTTGGCCGGGTCCGTCACCAACCCACACGAAGGATGCTTGCTCTCTCCTGGCTTTGGAATGCCTTTCTCTGTCTGTCCTTCCGAATCCTGCCTAACCTCCCCACCTCAGGGCCCTCTGGGTGTCTTCTCCCTCACTTCTGTGTGAGGTTCCATTCTGCTTCTTTGTAAACCTGACTTCGTGGAGGGGAGCCCCCTGGAGGGCAGGATCCCACTGCCTTCATTTCTGTATCACTGGCCCTTGGTAAGCATTCAGAAATGCTTGTTGAGACCAGTGACTGCCTCACAGTGTCCCTCTGCTTTCCAGGCTAACAAGGAGAACCCTTGGAGCTCCTGTAATAAGAAATTGATTGGAAAGTGCAAACTGTGGATGGTCATTGCCTCTGTTTTCCTAGGTCTCATTGTAGTGATCATCATAAGCTTATGTCTTATTGGAGGTAAGAGGACTTAAGTAGGACTAAGTTGATGCATTTTAAGAACTTATGTAATGTTTATGACTTACACTTGTTTCTGATATGAAAGATGTGCTGATTGCTGTTTCTTTATAATATGAATTTAAAACTGGTTTGGGATTTGGTATGAGTGGCAGCTATACATGTTTCTTTGTTTGCTTTATTTCATATTTTTTTTTTTTTTGTGGTTTGTTTTATAAGCTCTGAAAGAAGGGTGGAGACCAACATTTTACTTTAAACTCTGCCCACCGGATCTTGAAAATTTCTCAAGTGTTAATTTAAACACTAACTTATATTTCATTGTGTCTCTGCACCTGCTGTTTGAATATTTTTCCTTATCATTTGTTTGCTAAAATAATTATTGTACTTCATCTGATATACCTGGGACATTATTATAATGATAAATAATGAATAGCCCATTTGAAAGCATCTTTAAAACTTCAACAGAACCATGAATGTATAAAATGTCATGAATTTATTTTGGAAATAACTGTTTATTATATTTGTGTTATATGTGTTTACAAAACAAAACTTACATGGTGCTAACTATATCCTTTACATACATTATTTTAGTTATTATTTATTATGAAAATGAAAATAATCCATATGCAGTTACCCATGAAGCCCATCTATATTATTAATATTTCATTATACTTTCTTCTATCCTTTTCTCGCATTTTTAAAATAATTTGAGATAAAGATTTTTTTTAATCATCTTGTGGCCTACCTTTAGGATTTTTAGTGCCATGTTGAGACCATTTTGCCAATTCATTAGAAATTATTTGTGAGGGGCGCCTGGGTGGCTCAGTCAGTTGAGCATCTGACTTCAGCTTGGGTCATGATCTCATGGTTGGTGAGTTTCAGCCCCGCATCAGACTCTCTGCTGTCAGCACAGGGCTCACTTTGGATCTTCTGCCCCTCTCTCTGTCTACTCCTCCCCCACTCGTGCACTATCTCTCTCTCAAAAATCAGTAAACATTAAAAAGAAAAGAAATTATTTATGAACACTTTTTTAAAATTACTGTGTGTGATGTAGTCTTCCACACCATTTTAAAGTGTTTTTAAATAGTTGCTAATTTTTTATGATTATTGATATTAAGGTTTTCATGATGCATAAATATAGGACCCTCCAGTGGACAATCATTTCAGTTTTAAAATAGGAAAGAAGAAAATTGTTTTTATTTGTAAGTGGGGATGATTGCAGGGGCAGGGAGTTGGGATACTTCTTCTGGAGTTGGGATACTCTTGTATCCTGCAACTTTGCTGAATTCATGAATCAGTTCTAGCAGTTTTTTGGTGGAATCTTTTACGTTTTCCACATAGAGTATCATGTCATCTGCGAAGTTGAAAGTTTGACCTCCTCCTGGCTGATTTGGATGCCTTTTATTTCTTTGTGTTGCCTGATTGCTGAGGCTAAGACTTCCAATACTATGTTGAATAACAGTGGCGAGAGTGGACATCCCTGTCTTGTTCCTGACCTTAGGGGGAAAGCTCTCAGTTTTTCCCCATTGAGGATGATATTAGTGTTAGGTCATTCGTATACGGCTTTTATGATGTCGAGGTATGCTCCTTCTAGCCCTACTTTCTTGAGGGTTTTTATCAAGAAAGGATGCTGTATTTTGTCAAATGCTTTCTCTGCATCTGTTGAGAGGATCATATGGTTCTTGTCCTTTCTTTTATTGATGTGATGAATCATGTTAATTGTTTTGTGGATATTGAACCAGCCCTGCATCCCAGGTATAAATCCCATTTGGTCGTGGTGAATAATTTTTTTAATGTATTATTGGATCCTGTTGGCTAATATCTTGTTGAGGATTTTTGCATCCATGTTCATCGGGGAAATTGGTCTATAGTTCTCCTTTTTAGTGGGGTCTCTGTCTGGTTTTGGAATCAAGGTAATGCTGGCCTCATAGAAAGAATGTGGAAGTTTTCCTTCCATTTCTATTTTTTGGAACAGTTTCAAGAGAATAGGTGTTAACTCTTTCTTAAATGTTTGGTAGAATTCCCTTGGAAAGCCATCTGGTCCTGGACTCTTGTTTTTGGGGAGATTTTTGGAGTTGGGATACTCTTGAGGGTGATCTGGTTTCCACAAGGATTTGGGTTGAGTTGGGTTCTTCTTAGTAAACCCAGTCTTGGGTGAGAGCAAGATTGAGGATCCCCTGAGTCTCTCCAGAAGGCGTCCTGGGATTTTCTTCAGGAACTCCACTTGCCCTTCACCTCATGTTCCTCTTCCCGACCTCCTCCTCTCCTGTCTCAAGGGTTTAAAGTCCCTGAAGGAATAGGAAAGCTGAAAGATATATGCCAACCTCCAGCATGTTTCTCAGGCAGGCACCATGTTTGCTTAGTTACTTATGGCACAGTTGAGGTGGGATGGGTGATCCTTGGAGGCCATGGGCTGGTTTTGAGGTAGGTGCTACACCCCTTCCATCATGCTGAGGACAGCAGTTTTGGGGTGGGCCTTCATATGCCCTCTTCCCATTAACTCCCACACGTGGATGTTGAACTGAGGTTGAGCCATGCAGCCTTGTCCCATCACAATTAGGTGGTGCTACCCTGAATGTTGGCCGATTTGTCTCTTGGCATCTGGGGCCTCTAGCAAAGGATGATGCTTCAGGTCCAGTTGGTTTAATATTCAGGATTCTAAAGCACAAGACCCAAGAGCTGTCTTCCATTCTCAAAAATCATCCAATCTCTTCAACTCACAAACAGTGATCTGCAGAGGCAGGGATTGCACTTCCCTCCACAGTTTCTCAGGGGACACGTGAGTTATAGGATAATATTCAGGGAGGAGCTTTATACTACGTGTAGTGCAAGCTTCATTCTCAGTGTGGTTGTAAAATCGTATTTAAAAATGTTAATGCTGTAGAGAGATTTGCAAACTTTCACATGTTTTAAATCAGAGCCCTACTTTTACTTTACTTGGCACCTCAGCCCTCAGGGGTTTGGGCCTTTGGGGAGAGTCATAATAGGTGACGGTGGGAGTTTGCAATAGGGAAAAGGGGCAGGGACAGGGCTCCCTCCATGACGGCCCCGGCCTCACCCAGAGCGAGCTCTGTAGGTACTTCTGGGATGACAGTATTAAGAATTGGTCATTGCCTAATTGCCAAGCCCCAGCAAAGGAATCAAATTCATAGAACTTCTGGGCTCTGTGTGGAAAATACTCCCGCTTGGAAAAGCACAGTGTTAGGAGAGTCAAGGGCTGCACATATGGCTGTCTGGCTTCATTAAGAAGTGAGGTTCCGGGGCACCTGGGTGGCGCAGTCGGTTGGGCGTCCGACTTCAGCCAGGTCATGATCTCGCAGTCCGTGAGTTCGAGCCCCGCGTCGGGCTCTGGGCTGATGGCTCAGAGCCTGGAGCCTGTTTCTGATTCTGTGTCTCCCTCTCTCTCTGCCCCTCCCCCGTTCATGCTCTGTCTCTCTCTGTCCCAAAAAAATAAATAAACGTTAAAAAAAAAAAAAAAAAAAAGAAGTGAGGTTCCTCAGGGGCCCCTGGGTGGCTCAGGTGAATGAGTGTCAGACTCTTGGTTTCAGCTCCGGTCACAATCTCGTGGTTCATGATCTCATGGTTCTCGAGATCGAGCCCCGTGTGGGGCTCTGTTGCTGACAGCACTGAGCCTGCTTGGGGATTCTCTCTCCCTCTCTCTCTGCCCCTTCCCCTGCTCTCTCTCTGTCTCTCTCAAAATAAATAAATACACATTAAAAGCTTTTTTGGAAAAAAAAAAAAAAAGCGAGGTTCCTCCTGAGCTGCTTTTGCCATTTTTTTGCCTCCTTCTTCCCTTTCTCCTACTCCTCAGTGTCCTGTCTCAGGGCTCCGTAGTACACAGACTGAGGCTCAGAGGCAGAGGTGTTAATGACTGTGGAGCCGGAGTGGACACAGAAGTGGACACGAAGCAGGTCCCACGATGGAAGGGGTAACTACCTGAGGAGGGCACAGTGGGGTACCCACGGAGAGGTGTCCACTGTGGAGGTGTACCTTGTCACTAACGTTGTTAAGAATGACCATCAACTATGGTCTGTTTTGTTCTTGTTAATTTTCTGCAGGTTGTGCACCCTTTACTGCCTGCCCCTCAGGTGGGCTGTCCAGCCACTTTGCCTTTGCCCTGCCATTGAAGTGGTGGCAAATTCAGGGTCATGGCTCTGCTTATAGCACTGAGCCGGGGCTGCCCACACACTGTGCAGAAGAGGCTAGCACTCTGCCAGGCTTATGGTAAACAGTGAAATCTTTTTAAGTGGCCGCGTTTGGGAGCAGAGCCCAGGGAATTGTGTTGCGTCTGGAGGCTTGGTTTTGTCTTAGCTCTTGAGGGAAGAGATAATGATGGATTCTTTTCTTCTCTCTAAAGAATTGTAAGTTCCTTGATATAAATGGTAAAGGGGGGGGAGGCTCCCCCCTTCCCCCTCCCCCCCCCCCACCCCGGGCTCAAAGTCATCTTCTTTCTGGATAATTTGGAGGATCATTTAAGCACCCTCCAGGGTTCTCTTTGATTTGCCCCAGCCAGGGAGGGGAGAGACCTGAAGAACACCCTACGAATGACACTCTGGGTTGGGCAAAGTATTTTAAATGTTACAAAAGCCAAACTGTGACAGGTAGGTGGACACTTGGAAATATACTTTATTTTTTTTAATTTTTTTTTTTTAATTTTTTTTTTTCAACATTTATTTATTTTTGGGACAGAGAGAGACAGAGCATGAACAGGGGAGGGGCAGAGAGAGAGGGAGACACAGAATCGGAAACAGGCTCCAGGCTCTGAGCCATCAGCCCAGAGCCTGACGCGGGGCTCGAACTCATGGACCGTGAGATCGTGACCTGGCTGAAGTCGGACGCTCAACCGACTGCGCCACCCAGGCGCCCCGGAAATATACTTTAAAGGTGATCAGATTTAACACTGTGGGGACCTTTATGTGATATCCTCCAGCATCACGGATTTCTGCCTGACTTCTTTGTTCTCTTTACATACAGGCTTTTCCGTGAGTAGGAATGCTGTGGTT